CTTACTTACCAAAAGCACCACATAAACGTAATAACATATTCTCTGTCTGAGGCCCAGTTAGTAAAAGCTATGTAATGTTTGAGTCAAAACAAGAGAAATGCTTTCCTGAAAGATACATCACCACTAATTTGATTTCCTACCCATAAATCAAAGATCCCATAGCCAAATCCAGTTGTTGAGCACGTATGTGTGTGTATATACTCTCTCCCTCCCTTTCTCTCTCCCTCTTCCCCCCTATGTGTGTGTAAAATAGAGTTGGGAAAAATCTTTCATGCACTTGCAATATTTTATGTTTACCCTGAAAAGTATGTTCCATCTGCAGGTAGGCTGCAGTCTGCATCTACTTGCCTGCCACAATCCCTCTTGGACTCAATGGGTGGGTGGGGAATTCCTCAGAATGCATGTATAAGATAGCTTTCACGGTTTAGCCTAATAAGCAAAGTTTAGCGCAGATAGGTGGGTGTAGATTGCAGTCCTCACATATATGAAAAGCTTTATTATGTGAAATATTGTGGACTCACTTGTGCATCAAATGAAGTGAAATTTGATGCTGGAGAGGCAGATGGAGTCACATCTAACCCATACTACCACATGTCCTTTAAGTGCAGCTAATAACCTAAGCAAAACAAACAAAAACAAAAACTCCATGGTCCTCAGAGGTTTAAAAAATACATATATTTTACACTTTTCCCTGCTGCTTTAATATTGTAGATTGATCATCAAAGGATCTTCTTTTTTAAGTGGGTTCAGTAAGGTTTCTTTTTCTTTCCTTTGCCTTTATATAGGTTAGTACACAGAATATGAAAATGGGTGGTCTGCCTCGTACTACACCACCCACCCAGAAACCACCCAGCCCACCAATGTCAGGGAAAGGAACCATTGGGTAAGTACACCTTCATATGCACCAAAAGTGAGGATGGGGAGGGTGAAGATGAAACGTATTCAGCACTTCCTTTGCCCTAAGGTGCATAAGTGGTTAAAATGGCATTGTGGGGTATGGATGTGTCTTGTCCCTCTATTTTGTAGGCAGATAACATAACATTATAGACAGAAGGTGGTGATAAGCCATTAGAAGTACAGGTTAAATATTTTCTTTCTGCAGGAGCCTTTTGGGCTTTGTTTATAGTATAAACTCTGTACTTTGAGTAACTCTACACTATTTTCTGCTGTATGTCTGAAATAAGTAGTTAGCCTTAGTATCCTATGCTACATGCCTAGATAAATTCTGTGGGCCCAGTTGGTTCACTGGGGGCACAGTGCTGGCATGAGGAGGATTCTTATAGTCCTGTTCTCTCTTCACTTCCCACACCCAGCCTACATGCGCACACAGGCATGTCAGAGGCTGCATGACAGACTATCAAAGGAAATGGCAACCCTCTGCGTGCTTTGTCTGCTCAGTGCACATTACTTGTACACCAAAGCACAACTTATTGTGTGGTGAGCAGGATGTGGCAGGCATGCACTGGTCTTGGTGCGCTGCCTGCATGCGCACCAATGGGAGAAATAGGAAAACTGAACAGTATTAAGCTTGTGGAGATCCTCCTCGGGTGCTGTATCCACACTGGACTGGATCCTGCCCTATGCATTTTCAAACTGAACAATGAGCAGGAGTTCTACGCAGCCTTGCCCTAAGGGCTTTCATGTATTTCATTGTCTGAAATTACTTCCATACATATGTTTTTCTTGTGTAGGCGTCACTCTCCCTATCGCACACTGGAGCCAGTGCGTCCTCCAGTGGTACCAAATGACTATGTACCTAGCCCTACCCGTAATATGGCTCCCTCGCAACAGAGCCCTGTTAGAACAGCTTCTGTGAATCAGAGGAATCGCACTTACAGGTATTCAGTCTGCTCCTGCACAAAATATTAACAGTAATTAAAACACACAGCGCAGTTTATAACAATCTGCTTTTAACCCCCTCCCTATCCCTTCACATAGAACTTCATACATTCATGTGATTTCCTAGGAAATCCATTGTGTGTTTTAGGGAAGCCATGCCGCTTAATGTAGATGTTGTACAATGTGAAATTCCTTGCTTAAGAAGAACATATTCAAAAGCAGTACCAAGTTTACTTGCTGAATTGTGTAATGAAACCATTGAGGTCCTGAGTACTAATGCATTTAATTAATCGTATTTATCTTTATAACTGCTATTATTCACCTGTCAGTTCCAAGGCACCCATGGTGATGCACAGTTTCCAAAATGTGCCACTTGCAAGGGAGAATAATGCAATTGTGAGGTTTCCTAGCAGCCTCCAAATAAAATGTTTTGAAATCAGAGAGTTCTTGTTGAGCATTGGTGAGACTGAAAAAGCTGGCAACTTTGAATAGGTTGTTCAGTTGACTACAGAAAGGATGCCTGGTTTCATTTGTTTCTGTACATTTCCAGAAGGCATATAATGACTGGAAGCTGGTCTTAACAACAGTCTGTACTGTGGGAATTGATCTATGTAACAGGTCAGCTCTAGATCAGAGATTAGAAAGAAAAAGAAAGAAAGAAAAAAGAAGCCTTCCAATTAATTGGTGAGATTTCCTGGTATTGTGCTGAGAACGATTCTAGTTTGAAACAGCGATAAGCAGTGTAGATGTAACTCTCTGGCTATAGATGCTGGTATTTTTTCCACAGAAGATAGATTTTGCCAGTGCCCTTGGACAGTCTCCTCAAGGCAACCTCCTGTAATTTAGTAGGCAGCTGTTAATCTTGGTTGGTGCATTCTTGTTTTAGCTTAAACTTAAACTTTAGTAGATACTTGAAGAAAGTATCATGTTCCTTCATTCCTAGAATTGCGAATTTAGCAAGCTTTTATTATAACGTTGTTTTGTGTTCAGCATGGAATGGACTATAAATGTCTTGGTGGTTTTTACTTCTTTAGCAGCAGTGGGAGCAGTGGAGGGAGCCACCCCAGCAGTAGGAGCAGCAGTCGAGAGAACAGTGGAAGTGGAAGTGTGGGCGTCCCTATCGCTGTTCCCACACCGTCTCCTCCCAGTGTGTATCCAGGTAAATGGGAAGCTTGGCCCACCTGGGTTTTGGGACCCACCTTAAGACTAATTAGAACTTCTGTAAATTCATCTGGTTTGCCATTCCTTTCCAGCGCTGTATAACCTTGGAAGACCAATGAGTGCCTTCAGTTACTTCGGAATGTTTGTAACACTTGTTTAAATGCCCCATTTTTATTAATTTTGTGTGAGAGACAAGCTGAAGTTCCCATTTGAACAACTGAAACAGGAGTGGTTGTTGGAAGTAATCAGAACTTGTGTCCCCCAGTAATTTGAAAAATTAATTGACCTATGCTTGGGGTGGGCTACTGTGGAACTCCAGATGTTTTTGGAGTGCCATATATCTAATTTTGCATCATTGGCTATGCTGGCTAGGATTCATGTGAAATGCAGGCAAACAATAACAATAACAAAACAAAAACACAATTACATAGTCACAGTTGGCCACTCCTGCTGTATACAGATAGATCAGAAAACTATAAATACTAAAATTTCATTGTTATGAATTACAATGGGGTCTCGACTTACGAACGGTTCTACATATGAACGGTTCGACTTACGAACCCGCCCGATAGGGAAATAACAACTCGACATATGAACTTCCCTCGAGTTACAAACAGGAAAAAAGTGCCCCCTCCCTCCCCTTAGAGGCTTCTGGAGGGGAAAAAAGGATCAGAAACTTAAAAATAAATAAAAGAAAGTCACTTACCAGGACAACTTGCTGTCCTCTGAAGATGCCGGCCACGGAGATTGGCGAAACGTCAGGAAGAACAAGCTTCAGGACATGGCCAAAGAGCCCGAAAAATCCACAACCGTCACTTACCAGGCCTTGGTAGCCCCCGAACTACAGGAAAAAGAGCAAGAACATGCTTTAAAACATGCTTTAAAATTGGCTTTGTTGAAAAAAAAAGATTTCAGAAGTGCTTTTAAAACTGTTCCCTGCCTCCCCCCTCCTTTCCTGAACTTTTCTTGGCCTAAGAAAAAAAGAAAAAATTTTCCCCCTCTAGTGGCAGAAGGCAGAATAGCAGCTTCCCATTAGTTTCCCATTAGTTTCTATGGATGGAAAAGAGCAGATACGGATTAAATGGTTTTCAGTGCATTCCTATGGAAAATGCAGATTCGACCTACAAACTTTTCGACCTATGAACCGCCTTCCAATACGGATTAAGTTCATAAGTTCAGACCCCACTGTATCATTATTTTGACATTTTAATTGGGGCATTACATCAATGTACAAGATCTGCGTACAGCTATTTAGTGTTTGACTGACAGTCTGGGTAGAGAAAAGATACAGGATAATGACATTGATTAAGAATACTTATTGTGATTTCAGATTGCAGTGAGATAGCAGTCGTTGCAATTGTGCTGGCTTACCATTACAATTTTACTTTGGAAAAGGCATAAAATTTTTGTATCCCTTGTTCAGGAAAATAAGTTTCTATGGTCTGTGTATGTTTCTGAATTCTGCTACATATGGAACAGGCATAACTTGATTGGCAGTGGCATATTCCTGCTGATTCCATTTTTCCAAAAAATCTCCAGTTTATGAATGTGGGATATTGTGCTTCTGTATCCCTGCACAACATTGTGCCAATGCTGCTGGCAAGAAAAAGGACACTAGATTTGACATAGCAGAGGGCACCCTGAATGTTGTTGATACCAGTGCCAATAGTCAAGATGGTCTACACAGGATACCCTCTTGTGCTCATTACAATTCACAAAGAGGCACCAAGCAGAGAAGAATCCCAGAACCTGACTCCTTTCTCCATTGGTTAACCACTTCCCATCCAAACACAAAGCAATTGTCAGGACCCCATTTAAAAGTTATATATTTTTTGTTTGGGCTACCCTTATTTTTAGAATTGCCTTGTAGACTGTTGATTTGCTCTGCCACACAATTAAAGAATCTCTTTTTCAGTTTTTTTGGTGCACATTACTTTATCTCAATATTTGTGAGTTACATGAACTCTAAAATAAAAAAGGAACTCTGATTAGTGGCAATCTGCTGCCTCTGTGATATTGCTCCTACTATGATGCTAGAGCTACAAGGGAATACGGGTCCTATGTTTTAAGATTAGAGATGGGACAAATCAGAAAAATGGTGATTCATTTTGATTTGTGATTCATCAAGGTCAACGAATCACAGATTATGAATTTATGATTTTTTCCCTGACAAATCAACAAATTGATTCATCAATTTGTTTTTGACTTTAAAATTCTATAACACCCTCCATCACTTAAAATTCACAGGGAAGCTTCCCCTGACTCTCCTCTGCAAGCCCTGCAAGTTTAGTGAAGTTTGGGTTTCGAACGTTCAAGTTATACAATTATAAGTAGGTTACCTCCAGGAAAGTTACCCCCAGGCATGTAGAGAGGCATCAAAATCACAGAGAAGCTTCTACTGACTCTCCTCTACAATCCCTCAAGGTTTGATGAAGATTGGGTTTCAGGTTATGCACCCACAAAGTGAGTCCCCCCCCCCCAGGAAAGTGTCCTTTAGCAGCTGGCTTGGAGAAACCCAATTTCACAAAATTTGGAGGGATTGTAGAGGAGAGTCAGTACAAGCTTCTCTTTGATTTTGGTGTCTCTAGGTGCCTGGAGGCTTGTTTTATAGCCAAATGAATTGACAGATCATTGCTAAAAATTCATTGATTCGTATTCATCAGGGGCATTGATTTGTAAGAATATGAATCAATGAATTAGTGACTTTTAAAAACAAATTTGGTGATTCACTTTTTAATTTTTGCCCATCTCTAAGATATTTTGTTGCTATTAATTGCTGAAATAGAAGCAATTGCCTTTTATTTTCTTCTTTAAGACATTTTGGTATTTCTTCCTTCTCAGATGCACTCAAAATAAAAGAAGTGATATTTAAAAAACAAACAAAGGTTGTGCTAAAAAATCAAGATACAGTGGTGCCTCGCAAGATGATTTTAATTCGTTCCATGGAAATTGCTGTCTGGTGAAAACATCGTCTTGTGAAACCCAGTTCCCCATTGGAATGCATTGAAATCCATTTAATGAGTTCCAATTGGGAAAAAAAAATCACTGTCTTACAGAAATTGTCCATAGGAAACATTGTCTTGCAAAACACAGTTTCCCATACAAATGCATTGAACTCTACCATATTGGGGGAAAGCAATCCCCTCGTCTACACTGCCTTTAGAAATGTAGTGGGTATCAGATGGCCTTCCCCCTCTTTCTCTCTCCAGCAGCAAAGAAAGAAGGTGAAAGGAGTCAAAGCAACCTCCTGGCTCCTGATAATGGTGACTCCTTTTGCCCTCATCCTTTATCACTAGGGAAAAAATGCAATATTAAGACATCACCAGGACTTGCTGCCTTTACAATAGGTCCTGATGAAGAAAAAAGAGATGAGAAAGATTCTGGAAAGACCAGGAAAATCACAAATGCAATTCCCAGTTAACACAAATTATGCAGCTAAGTTCCCACATTTAAGGGAAATACCATGTTGTAAAAATGGTTTTCCCAGGGAGAGGCTCATCCATTGCACTTTGGGTGTGCTGTTGACCCCTGTGATTTCCCCAAATGTGGGGAACTCAACTACATAATTTGTGTTAAAGAGGGCATTATGTTTGTGATTTCTCAGGTTTTTTTACAATCTCTTTACCCTTTGGTTCCTGGCTGTTTTCACCATCCTCTACCATTTAAATTTGCAGCCATTTATCCCAAAAATGGGGGAGAAAGTGTATGGTGCTGGCTTTCCAAGAAAAACAGCAGCATACACTTTCTCCCCCACTTTTTTGGGATAAAAAGTAGGTCTTATGTAATTAATGTGTTCCAGTTGGGGGGGAAACCATCTTGCAAAACAGGGTTTTTTAAAATAAAAAACGACAACTGTCTTGCGAGGCAAGGACCCAAACATTGTGAAGTGAAAATTGCCCATAGGAACAATTGTTTTGTGAAGCACAACATCACTCAAAAAAGTAATCGTTTAGCGAATTCCTCGTTTCGTGAGGCAATCGTCATGCGGGGCAGCACTGTAGCATTTTTATTCTCTTAAAATTGTTGAATTGACTAAAGCTTTTTTGCACCAAACAAAGGGTCAGAAAGAAGTTTACACTGTGAGATAAATGCAATATGTTAAATGTGAAGTTATTCTTAACTATGAAGTTGTTCCTGCTTACAGTACTTCTGTTGAAAGGAAGGGGATTTGTTAATCCAAACTGATTTAAGGTCCCCATGATTTTGGTGATTTTACTCTAGGTCGAGCTGATGAATTCATTCCAAGATGGTAATTTATGTGTGTAATTTTATGTGCAACATGGGGTTATTGCTTTTGGATGCCCAACCTTTTTTAAAAAATTCTTTTTGACTGCATACCTAAGGGATAACCTTTCCCCCAACATAAACATCATCCTTTTAATCCTCCTTTTTTTTGGTTTGAACTTTAAAGATTTATGGACCAACTAACATGAAAAGCTTTTCTAATCCTTGCTAACTTGAACTCCTTATTAACTCCTCCTCTTCCTCCTCTTTTCACATAGCCCCTGCCAGCTCTGCTGGCACTTCTCCCCTTCCTGCTACATCTGCCCCTGCTCCTACTTCTCTCACTCCTGCTACTTCTGCCCCATCCTCTGCTGCCCCAGATGCTGCTGCTGCTGCAGGGGCTCAGCCCCTTGCGGATGGTTTCACCTCTCCAACTCCCCCTGCTGCTTCTTCTGCTCCTTCTGCAGGTGAGTGTCTGCTGCTCTCTGCAGGCAGCTGAACAAAGCTGTACATACTGCCAAAGGATGATCATGTTGTATTGAGCTGTGAAATTGATTAGTAATCCATACTGATTTATTTGTTTCTCATTGAGAGAGACTTGAGAGGGAGTGATGTTCCCCCCCCCCCAACATTCAAGTAATATAAATACTCAATTTATTTCATGTCTAGTGAAAAGTTGTTCTTTTGTTACAGATTATTGCTTGTTACACTGACCAAATTCCTGTGCCTGGCATAGTAGGCACAACATGGGGAGTCTTGTCCATTATCTTTTGCTTTGCATGTGTTGTTGAAAGGAGAAGAGTATTCATTTTCCATTCAGGATTTAGTAAAATGGAAACTAAAGCAACGCAAATTGGCAAGTGGAATGTTGCCAGATTCATTCTGTTACTGGGCAATACTTTAGTCATTACAATTGAAGCACTGAAATCTGCTGTTTACTTTTTTAGCTTGCTGATAGTACAGCCTGTGACACTGTATGGTATGGCTGTTCAATTTCTGTATATGAGGTTTGAATATCTGAGGCAATTTGCCTTCAGAAGTTATACCATCAGTGTTACTTTGGTATAACTACACTAGAAGATTCTAGCTGTTATGTTGCCTTATGCTGTGCTATGTTGTGCTGCTCTAACAGTGTTCATTCATTTTGCTGACTTGTTTACAGGAGCTCATACAATTAACATATAAACTTTTGTAGCTGTATTGTTTCTAATTCTAATGCTTTAAATATTTCTAATAATTTTGAGGGGCTTTGGAGAATGGTGTTGAATTTTAAGTGATAAATGTCTAGGGTACTCAGATATTTAGGGGAAGAAACTGATCATCTGACAGCAACATTGATTTTTCAAGTTTCTTTCTCTCCATTTTGTTAAAAGGTTATTGCTGTCTCTTAGACTTTACTTTGGTACCACCGTAGAATTTGAAAGATTGTAATGTGTGAGATGGGCGGAGGGAAGTGGGGGGCGGGGAGACAATTCATCACACAGAATCAATCAGTAGGAGAGGCTAAGGTTGGTCAACAACTGCACATGAAAAGTTAAGTGTTATTTATGAGTCCTGTTCAAACCTGGAGTAACTTGAGATTGATTCATCCTTGTATACCTTTCGCTTTATCATTTTGCAGTTTTAGGGTCAGATTCCACTTGATCATTTTGGATGATCTGATAAAAAAATAATTGTCATGAATGTGCATAATATGGCATTGCTCTCAGTATTAAGTTGTGGTGAATAGTCAGACAGCATAGTGCCCATATCTGATTAGCTTCTTTCAGTGCTAACAGAATCAACTTGGTGGTTTTTCATTTCTTTAAAGTGTGTGTAATAAGTTGCCATTCACATTTACCCCAGCTAAATAAACTGGTTCATTTTAAAGCATGGTTTATTTAAATGTTGATGTTTAAGATGTACTTTCTTTTATGCCTATTATGTCAGCTAAATTATCTAATTTTGAAATGCATAGAAGTGTGTATGACAGTAGAATTACTTCATTTTAAAATGCATAGAAGAGTGCATTTTGTAGTAAGGTTCAACCATCAGCTCACCTGAACAGGTTTTAATCTGTGTACTTTTGTTTTCAAAACCTTTTAAATGTTCAGATGGAAATGCAAGCATCAGTTTGAATATATTCCCCCTTTTTTACTGTTGTATTTTTTGTCTCTGAAACAGGTCATCCTGTTCAGTTCTATAGCATGAACAGACCAGTTGCTCGACATACCCCTCCAGCAATAGGGGGTTCTTTGCCATACAGGCGCCCTCCTTCCATCACTTCACAGAACAGCCTTCAAAACCAGGTGAATGGAGGACCATTTTATAGCCAGAATCCAGGTAAGATGGACCACAAGAGAATTCTCTACTCTTAACCCACCAAGAAAAATATTATTGCTTTGGAATCTCTAAGGACATTATCACATGATGTGAGAGATGTCTAAGGGACCATCCCTGATTGTCCCATCTCTATGGTAATGCTTAGTCAAACAGACTTAAAATGTTTTGTATTTTGGCTGCTGCAGTCAGAAACAAACAAACAAAGAAAAGAATCTGAGAAGTACTAAGCACAGTGAATGATATACTGCAAACATGCAGTTTTGTATTTTGGCTGCTACAGTCAGAAACAAACAAAGAAAAGAATCTGAGAGGTACTAAGCACAGTGAATGATATACTGCAATTTTTAAACTAGATATCCCCACAAAGATATTGGATGGGGATTATTGTGGCTTAAAGGCACCCTTCCAACTTTGTAACATGAAGTTAACCTCCAACTCTGCATATTTTAAATCTTGGTTTTTTTTTTGTTCCTATATTATGCATTTATGAAAAGGGGAGTTACAGAGTTAATCTATCATTACAGTGTCTCATCACCTGATGGAATGGGTAAAGACAATGGCCAACATCCTGTTGAGTGTCTGTTGGACAGAAAGACTCCATGAATAAAACCCATTTTCCCCTTGGTGATGTCAGTGCTTGCACAAGTGACATAATCCTATCCTGTTATGCTAGCACAACTTTCCACTTAGCAGTGGCATTCACTGTGTGGCATTCACCCTTGTGACACCTGTGTCCTGATGGAATGGGTAAAGACAATGGCCAACATCCTGTTGAGTGTCTGTTGGACAGAAAGACTCCATGAATAAAACCCATTTTCCCCTTGGTGATGTCAGTGCTTGCACAAGTGACATAATCCTATCCTGTTATGCTAGCACAACTTTCCACTTAGCAGTGGCATTCACTGTGTGGCATTCACCCTTGTGACACCTGTGTGTTTTGCCCTCTATGCCAGCACAACTTTCCACTTAGCAGAAACTCAGTAGGTTGGTGTGTGGCATTCACCCTTGTGGCACCTGTGTGTTTTGCCCTCACAAAGGCTCATGTTGCGTTTTCCTCTCACTGCCACCAGTGGATTACCTCAATCCACAATATAAACGACGTTTGTCAAAACACTTGTCTTGTGAATAGAAACAGAATTTAGTCATTGAAGTGAAGCAGTTTTAATAATCACAGAAGTTCTTCAGGTAAACATTGTACACAAGCAAATCATTAACACTTCTCTCAGTACAGTGGTGCCTTGCTTAGCGATGTTAATCCGTGCAGAAAAAATCGCTCCTAAGGGATAACATTGCTAAGCGAAAATAAAAAGGCAGCTGCTAAGGGATAACATCGCTAAGTGAAAATAAAAAGCCCATAGAAACGCATTAAAACGCAATTAATGCGTTCCTATGGGCTAAAAACTCACCTTTAAGTGAAGATCCTCCATAGCGCTGCCATTTTCGGTGCCTCTAAAGCGAGGTATCCATGCCTGAAAACAGCGGGCGGCCATTTTGTTTACCCGACGGCCATTTTGAAACCGCTGATCAGCTGGCCAAAAATGGGGGCTTTGCGATTATCGCTTCCCTGCGATCATCACAAAGCAAATTTCCCCCATAGTGACCATCGCAAAGCGATTGCTTTTGCGAAGGCAAAAAGTCCATCGCAAAGCGATTTCGTCGCTATATGGAGCGATCGCTATGCGAGGCACCACTGTACATACTTTTTTCTTTCAGTATCATTACCACCTTTTCTACCTATTTTCTTATCCAGCCTTATCACAAAGTATCTGTTTCCTCTCTCTCTGACTAACCAGTCCTTATCTCTATCTGGATCTCATCCCAATCTCTATCTGGCTCCTCCTCCTCCCGCCAAAACTTCATATAGCTGCTGACTTCGCCTCTCCAGTCCTCTCATAGGCTCATGCAAATCAGCTCGTGACTATGAATAGCCTGAGTGACAGTGGGGCAATCCTCACATGTTGGCTTTGAAATTTACTTGCTATTGTAAGAACTTTATGTAGGTTTTACAGAAAATTCAGTTTAGTTTTATGAGACTTCATTCTTATAAATAGCAGAAGTGGTAAAGTATGTGCATGGGCTGTGTAAGTTCATTTTATGTACTTTTATATGTTGTGTATATGAATCTGTCCATGTAGATAATACAGTCTTTCTCTCCCTTTCCCCATTGGACACATACATTTCAGTATATAGAAAGTTGCCATGCTAGGGTTTTGTTTTTGTGTGTGCAATGTTGTTTTGTGGGATAAGATTCCATAGTGAGAGCTTTTACTTGCAGCCTGAAGTGAGGCAGTCTAAATACAGGCTTACTATTTGTACGCTTCTTGAAATATAATGTATAACTAGAAATAAGCCTATAATGTGTACATTAGCTTGAGAGTGAATAACTTGTCAATGGCTGCTCATTGGATTTCAGAGCAAAGCTGGAGTTTGAGTCTGATATTTCCTATAGTAGATGATCTAGATGGGCAGGGTAGAAATCCAATGAATAAATAAAATAAAATAAAAAATAATCCAAGGTGTTGTCTACTGGGTTTAAGTACCTCGTGGCACATCATACAATGCCATTTGTGTGTGTTATTTCCGTTCTTCAGTTCATACAACCTTAAGATGTCCCAAAGATACATGTGTGCATATCCAGCTCATATTTGTGTGTGACATATTTTGCATCTGTGTATTCAAAATGTGTCAGGTAAAGTAGTTCTCAGTATGATAAACCTTAAAAAGCTGATGAGTGAGCTGAAGGTTTTGTTAGTAGTAGAAGATAGCAGATAGAATGTACAGAAGTTATATAAATCTTCATTCTGTCTCCCTAGTATAGAAGCAAGTAGTGATTTTTAAAGAGACTCCATCATTGGATTGTAAATTTACAAATAAAGCAACTTCCTTGGCAGCAGGCATAGAACATCCAGACTTGTGGTTGCTTGAACAGGATGATAGATAGATCCCTGGACTTAAATGCCTTTCAGAGTGGAAGCAAAAGGACTCTCAACAAGGACTCATTGTGGGGAGAGGTCTGGTAGGGACAACCAGATTGCTGTGGTGCCAAGAAAGCAAAAATGGACAAGAGGGCAAGAAATGCCCTATTAAAATAGTCTATTAATTTTGCACTGTGCAGACATCAGAAGAAAAATATGTCTGGGAATATGAATTAGGAAAGGGAAGGAGTGGTGATCATATTGGAGGTGAGGTTTTTGGTTGTTCATGATGGGTATGTGGATGTGGATGTAATATGAGGATGGCTTTGCATTGTGGATATTGATAGCTTTCCAGCATTTCTTGCCAAAAACATGCTTTTGTAGCCTTTGGCAAATATGTTATAGATGTATGTTGTAGATTAAGAATCAAAATGAGAAACAGCATATGGCTGCTGAACTGTTCAACAGTGGTCATGTTCCAAAGACAGTTTTTTAGTACCTCCATTTGTTCTAGTTAGAGTTGCTGAATATTCTTGTAGGAATTCAAATTCAAATGCAGAATTAAAACTAGTGTATCAGCTATTCCTGTTCCTGGAGAAGTCTGATCTGATCACAGTAACACATGCCTTGGTTACATCCTGGCTGTATTACTGTGACATACTCTACATGGGGCTGTCTCTGGAAATTATCTGGAAACTTTAATGGGTCCAAAACGTGGCAGCCAGATTGCTGAGTGGGGCTGATCACAGTGGTCATATAATCCTTCACTGGCTGCTGATCCGTTTCCAGGCAAAATCCAGTGTGTTGGTTTTTACATATAAAGCCCTAAATAGCTTGGGTTCAAGCTATGTCAAGGACCGTGTCTCACTTCATGAGCCTGCCCAAGCATTAAGATCATCATGGGTTCATCTCTCAGTCCCACCATCCTCACAGGCCTGCTTAGTGGGGATACAGGAGAGGGCCTTCTCTGTTGCTGTTCCCAGACTTTGGAACTCCCTTTCACAGGTGGCCAGGCTGGCCCCATCTTAGCTGTTTTTCCACAAGCAGGTGAAGACTGGCTGCCTTAAATGGATTGTTGTGCCTTACTGCTTTGAATATGTTTTTGTGTTGCTTTGTTTTAGTATGGTATTTGCTTGATCTTTTTTTACTGTTTGTGTACTTAGTGTTTTTATCTATAAATATTGCCTTTTAATTGTGCAAGCCACCTTGGGTCCTTTTTAAGGAGAAAGGCATGCTAAAAATAATTAAATAAACAACTGGAATGGCATTCATTAAGACAGAAAGACAGAACTGGTGATGTTGCTGAAATGTGGGCAGAAACTACACCGCCCCATTGACTCTTGAGACAGCAAGCACCTGGGGCTGGGACTCCTGCTTTATGCTCCCATAGAAATAAAAGGTTCCCACTTACCTTTATAGGAGAAGGTCAATACAGTTTCTGTTGCACTCCTGTGGTTTCTGCAGCACCCCATGTGACAAGTTTTCCAATGTATTTACTAAGCTATTACGGCTGTCTCACAACCATTTTGTAAACTCCTATTTTAAACAGTGAGATTATACTGCTTGTTAAAGCTCTATTCCCTGCTTTCCTCATATTTAAAAAAAGTACTTTGAGTGAAGTTAGTCAAATCCATAGGCCTGAACTTTCTCTGATCCAGCTCAGATAGAAAAGTTGTGTTCAGTTTTTTTCTCTGTCTTAGAATACTGAACTTTGTAAATCATGTTATGAAACTATAAATTTGGTTTCTAGCAGCATTAATAGAGAGGATGCAAAAACTGACGTTATGGAAAGGCTCAGTGAATTTTGAAATATTTTTATTTTCCACATCATAAGCTTTGTATGATTAATACTAGTCAGGGCAATGCCAGTTTTATTGCTGGCTTAGTTGTACTTTTCAATCTGCCAGTTAATGTTTATTCTGCTTTTGAGTGGCCTTTTCCCCCCTCTTCAGTGATCAAGGTGCTCACAGTGCCTGCCTTATCTTTCATATTTCAATAATCACAGAATTATGATGATCACTCTCCTTTATTACAGTGTCTCTTGCACCACCACCTCCTTCCATTCTGCAGGTAACTCCCCAGTTACCACTAATGGGATTTGTGGCCAGAGTTCAGGAAAATAGTAAGTTTTTATTGTTAAGTATTTTAGGTAGAATTACTTTAACTTTTAGATCTTGGCTCCCATTTGTCCATATATGCTAAGTGCAAGTGTAACTGTGTCTCTGGGAGATATGCAGTCCTGCTTTAGCTGTCTGTCTTTGCTCAACTCTGTTGTAGAACATATCTTTTTAGGTCAGTTGCTCCTTAACTGTTGTGTAAATTTGGCCTAGCATCCAGTCAGCAGTTACTCTGAGCAGTTGCAATGTGTGCTAGCTACAGTGGTCTTCTACCAATCTGAGGGGAAATAGTAATTTTTATGGGAGTGGCTGATATGCTTCTTTTGTGTCCCAACTCGGGTTAGACGACTTGATGGCCTCAAAATGTTGTTGGACCCCAACTTCTGCCTTGTCTGGCTACTGGCCATACTTGTTAATGAAAGTTAGAATCCAGTATAACATGGTGGGCACCAGTTTGTCTAACCCAGAACAAATTCCCTTGTTACAAATTTATGGAACATGAAGCTTTTGTAATTCATATGTATACACTTTGCTACAAGGGGAAAGAATTACCAAGAATTAATCATCCGGTATGACCATTTAAGACGATAGCTGCGAAAATTGGCAGGAAGTAACATGGAATGTAAATCTTTAAAGAGGAGAGCTTGAGTTTTCTGCTTGGATCCAAATGTTACAGAATGAGTGTTAGATTTGAGTCTGAAGATGAAGGAACATCTGATCTTGATATTTAGACTTATTTTGCTAGTTCTCTCTTTCTCTCCCAGTTAGGGTTTTACTTGTAAAACAAGAGTAACCCACCCGTTATTACCACCACAGCTGGTCACTGGATGGATTGGAAAGAGGAGGGATGAGGGAGAGTAAGAGCTGCAAAGCATTCATGTACTGAACTTTTAACTTCAGGAGCCGTTAATATATTTTTTTTCTTCAGTTTCAGATACACCTCCGCCCCCACCTCCTGTAGATGAACCAGTCTTTGATGAATCCCCACCTCCACCTCCTCCTCCAGAAGATTACGAAGAAGAAGAAGCAGCTGTGGTGGAATACAGTGACCCTTATGCTGAAGAAGATCCACCATGGGCACCAAGGATCTACTTGGAGAAAGGTACCTTTGCTGAAAATTGTAATACAGCAAAGCATCTTCTGTTGCCATGGATTCAGCATAGGATACTTGACTGCTGAATTCCTATACTTGAGATGTGACAGATACTTCAGACTTTGCCAAGTGAGGGCACAGTGTGAAAGGAATGTATTAGTACTTAATGGTGCATTTCACAATATTCAAAGCAAAGCGTGCTGCTTATATACCGCCCCATAGCACTTCAAGCACTGCCTGGGCGGTTTACAAGTTAATTATGCAGGCTACACAATATGGCATGCTTAATTTTTATCAGTATTGAGGCAAGGGGAAGCTTTGCATGTGAAGAAATGCAGTTGGTGGATTTCTGCCAGTTGTTTCAGCTGGGTTTGTTGGGGGATAGGATTTTCGTAATTATAGGACTTCTGGTCTCAGAAGTCACCTAGAATCCCTCAGGCAGAATGCTGGGACTGAGAAGGGAGAAACCAAAAAGTTAAAGAGATATATTTCTACCACTGTATTGTGCTTGTCTTCACTATATTGGCCAAGAAGCACAAGGGACCACCCAGTTAGTTGTACTGCTTCCTGGGAATTGTTCCAGTGGTCTCTGTGTAGGGTAGTCTTATTGCACATTTGACACTATAGGCGAACCTCTCATTGAACTACCCTTCCATGGAGCAGTGTGACAGAAAGCGGATCCCCTTCTTTTCTGCTAGACCACATTGTTCTGGTAGACCAATATGATTAAAAAGAGATCTCTTTTGCCCTCCGATTTTTGCTGTCCCAAATCTAGAAGTCTGTGTGGAGGCTTCTAGGTGACCTCTGGAATTGGAAGTCCTAGAATTATGAAAATCCCATCCCTTGTTGATTTGAACAATTAGATCCTGGCTGAATTAGCCAAAGTTTGCAAGAGTTCCCTATACTTTTGCTGCAGCTTTGCACACGCCTCCCATAGGAGTTAGAAGCATCACTTGAAATTGACTTTTATATGTCTGGAAAGCATATTGACCATAATTCCTAGTTTGCCTATAAAAAGAAACTCTGGTTAGCTACACTTTCTTCCTTCATTTTGCTGCTGGCATAAAAAGAGGAGTAAAGTGACAGTAAAAGGTTTGTGGACAATAGAACAGAGCTCATACATATCCTGGCTACTCGTTCTTCTTTACGTGTGTCAGGATCACAAAACTGCATTAATAAATATACAATTTTTGCCCAATAGCAAGAACATATAGGGCAGGTGGCATAAAATCTTCCATAGTAAGTGCTGATGGGTTTAGAGTATGCTGAGATACTGTAGGTGTGCAGTTGCCTTTTCCTCTCCTCATCAGCAAAGGACTGTGTCAGTACAAACAAACAAAAATCCTAAGGTTCACCTTGGTTTTGCCAACTTCACCCCATAGCCTATTAAATGATTTCCAAGTAACTCAGTTTTCCACATTTCTGGGCGCTAGACTTTCCTGAGGTTCCTTCCATTTTCAGAGGTGGGTAGTTGTTTATTTCCATACTGTAGTCCTGGCATTCCCTGTTATTCCTTCAAAATTCACAGATGTTCAACCATCCCCCTACCCCTTTTCCTTGATTTTGGTCTTATAGGAAGAGATGGTAGTTGAAAAGTGGATGTGCATTTGATGTAGATGTTTTCAACAGTCATCCTTGCTAATAATCCAGCTCTGCATAGGGGTGCAATTAGCTCCTTGATTGCATGAGAAGTATAACACAGAGCCACAAAAATATGTTGGCAGTTCTGCATTGGGTATCCGGCATATTTCAAATATAGGCAGTGAGAAATCAGATTTCATTGGAAGTTATATGGATTGGGGATAACGTTTGATCAGAGTGCTGATTTGGGTTTCACTTGTCCTGCTTTTTGATTGCATCTGGAAATGGAGTTAGTTTCTTAATTTCATCAGTGAATGATTTTGAGGAAGGAGAGTTCCTTGACCTGGCTTCCTTCTACAACTCTCAGGAAAGCCGCTATCTATTTTTCAGGAGACTGTAACTGTCTGTTTACCACATGAAGTAATTTTGACCAAAGCTCTTCTTTTGAACGAAAATAGAGGAGAAGGTCATGTTACAATATACATGTGGTCTCTTGGAAATAATTATTAGCACCAACAGTAACAACTAGTTGGTTATTTATTATGTGTGCTACAAAGCAAATGAACTAGAGCCAATTTTATCTCCTAACTTTCTTAATAATGAAATGTTTATAAATGTCAAAAATATTATTTTGGCTTTGTGATGAATCACTGGTTTTTATGCCAAACCTAGCAACCTGGTGTCCTCCAACTTCTTTCTTTTCTGTTTTTTTTCCTAGTTGTGGCAATCTATGACTACACTAAAGACAAGGAGGATGAACTCTCCTTCCAGGAAGGTGCCATCATCTATGTCATTAAGAAGAATGATGATGGCTGGTATGAGGGTGTCATGAATGGAGTAACAGGACTCTTCCCGGGAAACTATGTGGAGTCCATCATGCACTACTCCGAGTGAGGACCGTCAGGGCAAGAGGCCGAACTGCCCCTTGCTTGCCAAGAGATTGTGGAGCTCCCCAGATCTTCACCAGCACCTGGGGGGACCCAGACAAGTGCATGGAAGGAAGGAAGGAGGGACAGAAGGAAGGAAGGATCATTGTAACAAACCACTCCTTATTTTTCTTTTGTTTTGCTCCCCCTCCCCTTTTATAAAATAGTGATCTGAGTTTTGAAGAAATGGCTCTTCCATTTGCCAGCAGTGACTGAGTTGAGCTGAGTGACAGATTTGAATAAGCTGACATATTCAGGTGTAGATAAATGAGATGTAATGAATTTGCCAATTAACAGATCCATTGTTCAAATGTGACCCATTCAATCAAGACATGGGATTTTTCTCAGGAATAATGCAAGCCCTGGTGTTGGGGCATCCTGAATGCCAGTGCTTAAGGACTGGCTTCAACAGGCCACCCACCTCTTCTCCTTCACCCCACCTCCCTATTCCACACACCCCTAACTATTGAAAAAATAATGTGCTGGCAAACATTTTGGGTTCACATACCAACTGGATCTCAGGTTGGTTCCTTGCATCTCTGACCCAAATACTTTTGCAATTGTTCAGCACATGTAGCCTGATTTGGACGTGCAAGGAGCTGGTTTCAAATCACCTTCCTCTGAATTTTGATAATGTATGAACATCTAGCATCAAAAGATGGTCTCCCCATTATACTGATCCATATAAAAGCCAGAAGCTTGGTCTCTTTCATATGGTTGTTTCTGAACTGTTGGACAGACCTGAAGGAAGGTGAAACTTAAACACAAATATTCAGGTACTGGTAGCCTTGTTCTGCTCTCCAGTTTACAAAATACCTGGAGGAATGGTTTATACCTGCTTACCTGATATTCCGTCGTGTTGTTCAGATATTGCTTTCAGAGCATGAGTAAGCCACAACTTGTGGATATGCATCTTGGGCTTTATCCTGGTTCTTCTTACCGAGGCTGGCTACAGTCTTCTGAAATTACCTCGTTTTCTAGTTTGGAGGATTAGAACTGAGAGTGGCAGTATCTCCAGAGAGGAAAAAAATTGGATTTATTTTTGTGCTTTTGCTGAACCACTTATCATTATTATATCAATCACATGGTAGAAATTTGGTCTTAATTCTATTTCCAGATTTTGGTACATATCATGAAGGACCTGCAGTTAGTCAGATGTTTCCCAGGTTGATTTTCTTATTCCAAAGGGCTGTCAAATGTCTGGTTTTCTTTGAACACTAATTAGAAACTGGTGAGAATTATAACTATCTTCTCACCATTGGTCCAATCAAGGAAGAGGAGGCTGTTTTTGTGTGTATGTGAATGGCAACCTGTTATGGCTTCCTAAGTTTTAGGGTCATGCTAAATGGACACTGCATATTTATGTTTGGTTGAATAGGGGCTGTGAAGACTCTGAATCAGGCTTGTGCATGGGGTGATGGGAAAGTGACCTTCTTTGCTGGGGTCCTGCTGAACTTTGCAAAAGGAAGTTGCTGTTGGTGCCAGTAATACGTTTTCTCCCAGGCACATAGATTAATGGCGTAGAGGAATTCTGTTGGGACTGTGGCATGTTTGTGCGGGTGAGTAGTAAGGCTTAAACCCTCTTCCTTGCATGTCACAGTCCCACTTTTGACAAGCCTCTCCCCCCACTCCCCGAACAATATTTAACTAAAGTACAACCAAACTAACTCCCAAATATGTGGAGTACTGTTACTTCACTGACCTGTCTTGGTCCCTTAAGATATGCTGACTTGATACCAGCCAGTGTTAGATTCAGATAATTGTTGAAAAGTAATGTGCCTGGAACAGAGGTTGTACCAACCACCTTTTCTTAAACTAGCCAAAACTTCATTAAACTAGCAAAACCAAGTTTTACAGATAGCTGCTCTCTCAGTGTATGCAGATTGTATTGGTTTATGCTCCGTAACACAATTAGGAAACAGTCCTATCTTGTTTTTTGCTTGAGCCATGAACAAACATAAGGTATTACCAAAAGTCAATATTATCCTAGCATAGATTCTTCTAGCCTTCAGCTTTGTGGTAATTGGTGTCCCGTCCCCCCAGCCCACTCAAAATACTTTCAGTATTGAAAACTAGTTGCACTGTTCTGACTAAGTAGAATGGGATCACCCTAGGGCAGAGATGGGCCACTGTGTCCCCTCCAGATTGTGGCCTAGAGCTCTATCATCTCTAGTCATTATAAGAGTTGGAAGTTCAAAAACATCCAGAAGAGTGTGGTTGTCCACCCTTGCTTCAGAACTGACCTGTTATGAGGCCATCAGGTGGGCTGTCTCTTCAAATCATTGCTTTACATGGGAATGCTACATGTTCTGCGCACTTGGAAGGATTAAATAAAGATATCCTGAGGTTGATTGCTTATGACTTTAGTAAAATACAGTAAAGATGCCTGTGAGTAGCTTTCACTGACAGGATAACCAGCATTGTTCAAAACAGCCAGGAATATGTAATGCTGATTTGGAGCTTTGCTTTTCATAGAATTACTGTTTGTTCATTGAAAGGAATTCATCAGTGTTGGTCATCTTAGCAAGTAATTTTGTTAAGGTCATTAATAATATCAGATCCTTTATTTATTTATTTTATTGACAAGATTTTTTAGCTGCACCATTACCAGTGGTCTCTTTAAGCCTTTAGGTTGGTATTGACCATCTCATCTAGCCCATAGTCTCTTATTATGAAGCCTCTGCCTCCTGCACAGAATATGGATATGGTAAAATTCCTACCAAAAGGGCTTGGGCCTTTAGGTAACATGGAAGGGTATGTGTGGGAGTCAGATTGTACAATATCTTTTAGATATAGCAGGGGTGTACACAAACCCCTTGAGATGTACCTTGTAATCTGAAGAACCAAAAGGAAGTGCCAGCTTCCGTAAATATACTTGCCATGGATAAATATCACCACTTCTCAGAGCACAGCAGGGAAAAGCCAGGTGCCATCCCCTGACTCCAAAGAGTAAATGCATTTATGGTGATTGTTCAGAGGTTGAAGAAGGAGTCTGCTCTAAAGCCACTTGCTATGTGAGAGGTCCCTACTTTGTCACCGGATTTTCCTGTATTTGTAAAGAAAGCAAGTGAAGGGGGTCAGTGATGACGACCAATTATGGCGAATAAATAAGCTGGGGCAAAATGTGCGGACCCCTGTGCTGCTCATGCTGTTGAGAACTAGGTGCCAGAAGATGTATGTGTGTGTGTGAGAGAGAAAATAGTCCTGTTCTGTTTTCCCTTCCATTCAAAGAATCTGGAGTTTCTACAGCGCTGGGTAGTCTGAGGGAAGGAAAGGAGGCAGGATGTTGAGATAGTGTAATGAAGAGGCTACATGTATAGCTCCCTCCTAGGATGACCAATTATGGCTAGCACTACGGACAGATAAGCAACTTTCCCTCTACATACAGAAACCCAATTTTATTTGCCCCATTAGTCATGCACTTTACATCTGGTACTTGGCCCTGCATGCTGCGGGCAGCTTCTTAAGGGCACAAGTTCTAGTGCCCCCCTTCTCCAAAAACAGGTTATCTGAACTTAAGATTCTTCATTTGAAGCGAGTACATTTTTTTCTGCCCTTCTGGGAAATGTCATACCATTCATTTTAGATTACACTACTGATTTGAGCTCACATTGCCCGTGAAGTTTAAATTCTCTGCGAAAAAGCTTGATGCAGTCCCTTCAGTCAGTCTGTTTGCAAGGTCCTGGCCTTAGCTAGGGCTCACTTGGAGAGCAGATGCACATCCCAGGATAGCTAGGTCATGGTGCCAGGGCCAATTCAGTTCTGACAGATTCTGCAGTCACAAACGTTGTTTGGAGAGGCTTCACACTGTAGATACAGTGGGCTTTTTTGGTATGCTTTCAATATAGAATTGGTTTATAAGGAGCTTCTCTGTAATGTTTTAAGATGGGCATGCTTCCTTAATTATGTGGGAAACTTGGAAGTCTCTCCAGCTCCTAAGGAGGGCAATGTCACAGGTTATCAGAGAAGATTTTCAGCTCTCTGATTCTGTGGCTAGTTACTCCCTGCACACCTTTTTAGGCCAAGGCCATCTTCCTGTGGAGCTGTGACAGGCTGTTTTCATATTGCTCACCCCCTGCTGGTTTTATGCTTTTATTCTGCAGTTCTTATGTTGTACAGAAATTCTTTGCATTTCATGCTCATTTTTTATTTTAAAATTTGTAGAATGTCTAGGGATGATACTATATGTACAAGGCCCAAAGTAATCAGACTTTATATGTATGTAATGTTACATAGACTGCATGCTATATCAAATCAGTGAGGGTGTTATCCAACTTTCAGTTGTAATTCTTGCCAACTTCCCTTCTTTTAATTTAATGTTTACTTTTTAAAAAAAGGTAGTATGGGAGAATGAGGATGGCTTGGTAAATTCAAAGAAAATTATACCCATAGTCTTGCTGTCAAAATTTGCGTGATGGTGTAAAAGATGTTGAAGATTGCATACACATTTTTCAGTATCTTGCAGGGAAAGCAGTCACTACAAGAGCCCAATTTACGGTCTGTGTCAAAGTGGTTTGCATTTGTTCCTTTGTAACAGGATTTTCATTCCCTCAGCCGTCTCATCCCCATTCAATGAAATAATGGCACACAAATCCAAACTGTTTTTCTTCAACCTTGTTGGTGTCCTGTAGAAGAGCAAAATCTCTTTCTCATAGCACCAGAAACAAGTCTTTACATGCAAAGAGAGCTAGCTGTCTGTGTGAAGTAGGAACAGTAGTCTCTGGTGCCTTCTTTTTTTCAGGCCTAATGTTGGTTTATTGGTATAACCAAGTAAGGGCTGCCTTGGCCCTACTTATATGAATTGCTGCCATCTCTCTCTTTCCAAGTAAGGGCTGCCTTGGCCCTACTTGACTTATATGAATTGCTGCCATCTCTCTCTTTTCCCCCTTCATCGCACACACCTTTGTGAAGGGCAAAGAGGGCAAAGAATGTTTTCCACAGTTCGTGGTGAGGCTTAGTTACTGCTTTGCTTCACTTCTACATGGTAAAGGTCTAGAGCACACACACAAACCTTGTAGATCAGAAGTATTTGTAGTGTGTTTGGTTTTCTCTACTTTGATGTAATAAGAAAACAAGTTCACAAATGATATATTGCCAACTTGTTACTGGTTTGTGTTTCTAAAGATTAATTCAAGTGTGTTCAGTGCTGACAATTGCATTTGTGTGTGTGTAGTCTCCTTTTAATGTAACTTTAACTATGTATCCCCTTTTTTCTTTATTACATCTTTAAAAGAATGTTTGCAAGTCCCTGCCTGGCTCTTTTTTATGGTCATGCATGTGCCTCTTAGGCTTGTTTACCCATTGGTTGACAGCAGCATACACTGGAGGAAAACCCTCGTCATAGAACTTTACTGAAGGCATAGCAGGAGTTGGCTGCTTTTCATAAATTAGATGGAACAATCCCTGAGAGCTACTGGTCTTGCACAAACAGCTTATAATAATAATATTAGTAATAATCTTAGAATTTCAGAGGTGGAAGGGACCCAATGGATCACTGTAAAGGAGGCACAGTGGGGAATGAAACTCCCAACAGACCACTGAGCTATCCAGCAGTTCTTCTGGTTTTTACAAGGCAGCAGTATGAATTCTCTAGCAAGCAGCAGCTTCTCACCTAAACCATCTTTTAGTTGAGTGAGTTCACCTTCTGCTTCTGAAGAGGCATCTCCAAGTGTAGGGATCTCTTTGAGAGCTTCCAATCTTTATGGGTTCTGCTGGGTGTTAGTGTAATTTCCACCTTCAGTTT